AAACGGTACGAAAACCTCATCATAACTTAAAGCGCGACTGGAACAAGGACAGACAGAGAAGAAAACGCAGGACAAGCGCTGAACTAGGAACTGATGATGAACTCTTACCAACTCGCCCAATTGTCCATTTAGCTAGGTGCTAAAACCGCTTCGTACATGTATTTATGTGCACTGTCGGACACTTTGAGCGCGAACACGGCGTCGGCGCTTTCCAACATGGGGGATGTATACGTGCCAAACGAACGAAGGACATGTGGAAAACCAAAAGAGACGACAAGGACTGCGCAGTAAAACTGAAACAGTAACTCCTTGTGCATGCGGACGATCAAAATAAATTGAAAGCCACGTAATACAGTCAAATTTTCAATAAATAAGGATTGCTTTATTCTTTCTGCTCACGAATATGTGCGAAGATGCTTGTTTTGCGTTCCAAACATCACCCGCACCTTCGAAATTTTTGAAAATAGGGAGAAGCCAGAGAACAGGTGTCCAGTAAAAGCTGCCCGACATAAGAAATAAATTAATAAAAAGACGCACCTTTCATAGCCAACGTACATTATTATCTACGTTTGGAATGTATTTTTAGCCGCTCGCAAAAATGCACGACTAGGTCATTTTCACATAGTGACAGGATGGGCATATTAGCAACATATAAGTACCACCTGAATGCTGGCGAAACTTGGGCACACTCTACATTCCTCTCGATTGATATGTTGCTTAGAATCGTCGCTCGTTTTTACATAGCGGCTATAGAACAGAGGTTCGGGCCTGAAATATAGCGAAGTTTAAGGTCGTTCACTGTCAAAGAAAAATGCTCTAACGAAATTACACTTTTATAATGTTAACAAAGGTACATACTATTTGATACGACCCAAATAACAAGTTATCCATGTTATTTTCCGGCGAAGAGAAAAAATGCACGCAGGTTTTCCCATAGGAATGCACAGGAGCAACGCAAAAGTAGACTGGTTGCTGTCTGCTTCAATTTGCCTCCCGGAAGTCGCATAGACACTAGCGGCAGTTGAACCTCTAGCGTACATTATAATAACTCATGCAATCAATGCGCCTCGTAAGTGGGCTCATTTTCGTCTTCTGCGCATGAGAAAAAAAGTAGCGGTGACGTCAAAACGCCGAGCCCTGATTGGCTGATCGCGACCCCCTATCTGAGCGTCGTCTGCTCCTTTGCAACGTCGTCTGCTCGCAACGTCGTCTACGTCTGTCTTACCTTTCCTGCGACTTTCACGAGCGAAATAAGTCGAGCGGTACGTCGTTTTTCTCTAAAATAGCAGAAGCGCATCAAGGAGAGAAGTCAAAGGACTTACTGGCGAGGTGTCCCGACTCCGAGGCGCCGAAGTTTGTTTGCTAAGAACCGAGAGTGAGCGTGTTAGTGTCCGCAAGTTCCCTCCCAAATACTTTTTCCCTCCTTTCGTGTGCGGCGAGACTCCTCACTTTTTAACGGCGTCGGTGGGTTGCTTTACGTCTGCTAGTCAAAGCGATGGCTGTTTTACCTTTGCTGCGTCTGTCGGAGATTCACCGCTTTTTCACCGGCGAGAGTCACCGTTGCCTCGGAAAACAAGGAGATGACAAGAGGAAGAGATTGACCTCTTAATCTAAAATTGAGGTCAGCGATCAAAGTATATAATACGGGAAGGGTTCACAAGGGTCGCGCGGGCATATTCCATTCAGCACGCCAGCCGGTCGTGGGCAGACGGTCGCCGAGTCGGAGTGCCTGCTAGGCCTATGCCTATAGCTCGCTTGGTCCGTGTCGGTGGAATCGTGGCCGTTGGAGCTTTTTCCGGGTGTTTGTGGATCCAGCGTTCTTGTTCGTCGTTTGTCTGTTTCAAGTACTTTTTACTTTTTTCTTGCTGCTTGAAGTCCGGACGCGTGAGAAGCGCACGTAGGAAAATAAAGGTCCGTTGGTCGTCGCGACCGCGACGCTGTCGGCCATGCTGATCTGATCGTAAAAGGAACAGCTTCGGAGCTGTCGTAGGATTTCGTCGTAACCTGCGCAAGACTTACGAAAATTTCGTTTCGTGAGAACGAATTTGTTCTCAAGTTTTGTTTTTTGGCGTAAGATCGTTTTGTGAATCTGGCCTCTGGCCTCTGCACTTTCGAAAGTCGCAGGAAAGGTAAGACAGACGCAGACGACGTTGCGAGCAGACGACGTTGTAAAGGAGCCAACGTTACTAAAACACTCAGTTGGGAAACTCGCCGTCGAAACCTGGGCCGCTGGTGTCCTCCGAGACCGAGCTAAATGCGACAACAGCGCCACTCTTTGTCACTTGTCTGTACTCTGGTCACCTTGAGCTTTTTGAAAGCTTGTTTTTGCGTAAAAACAAACGGAAAAGACCCTTTTCGTATGAAATTTATTGGAGTTTAGTACCAAATGATGGGCGCTTGATGTTTTTATCATCTTTAGTTCGCAAGGTTTTGCGTCACAATTAATATTGTTTTTATACAACCATGCCTCAGCGGGCCCTTCAGGTAGCACGTCCCGCCCTAGGTGCATTTTAACTTCGGTAGCTCAACCAGCTCAACGCGGCGCGTCCGCCGGGGAGACGGGGGTGGCACCCCTGTAACCTCTACCGCTGTATCTGTTCTTAAAGCCAAAATAGAAGTCACGTGCAGTTCCTCGAGTGGCCGCTGCGGGAGAAATGGTGTCGTTGTGTTCGTCATTAGCTCGATGCTCGGAGACAGATTGGGGCCACTTTTTCCAAGCTGTCTCTATGGGAGTTTCCCAACTGAGTGTTTTAGTAACGTTGAAAGGAGCAGACGACGCTCAGATAGGGGGTCGCGATCAGCCAATCAGGGCTCGGCGTTTCGACGTCACCGCTACCCCCTGCCCAAGAAGCAGACGAACTTGCCCTCCGCATAGGCATTCGGCTGGTAGTCGGCTTATTAACTCGCGTTCCTGGTTGGGAAAAGGAGATGGTTAAGTGCCAGTCACGTATGAAGTGTTAAAAATTGTTCCAGTGTTTTTTTTTTTTTTCAGGTGGACAAAATTCAAATTTTTGAATATGAATAGAATGTTATAAAATTATTCGTATTCAATTCGTTAGCCAAGTGTGTAGTATGTTTTCGAATATTCAAAATTATACGAATATTTCAACTAGCCGAATATTCGAGAACACATTCAAACTACTAAATCTGATTACGGTTTTAATGAAAAAAAAACTCATCGAAACCGCTACCGGCCGAATGGACGGTCCGGGCTTCGCGCCCAGACCGTCCAATCGGCGGTGGGGTAGCGGTATTGTACGGCTCTAGCGTTTTTCTTCTGATTTTTCTGCTTTGCCATTGCGCGTTCGGTTTTGCGCTGCTTACACCGCCCGTATTATGGCGGACGGAAACGTTCGCGTTGACCTGTCTGCGAAGCCCGAGAAACGAAGGAGAGACGGCGTAAAACAAAGAGGGAGACGTGGACATCGTAGATACCTTGCAAAAGTGGCGGGATCAATGGCGCAACGCACGACATGCTACTGAATATTTCAAACACCGACAGGTACCACGACACCCCTTGTCAACCATCTGAAACAGCATCCAGCGTTGATGAAGGGTATCAGAGATTACTGCGTCTGCGTCAGGAAAAGATCAACCGACGCGCTCATGGACCTCGCGCGCCGTACCGCGCCGGGCCCAGTCAGAAAAAAAAGCGCAAACTGGAAATGAAAAAGCAAGGGTGCCGGCGAGCTGGTTCGATACTCACATGGTAACCCTGGAGCCGGAGAAAAGAAGGGACGTAGGACAAACACAAAACTCCAAACACAGCTACAATTTTATTTCACCGTCAACTACGACCAGGCGACACTGACACAAAAGGTTTGGCAACAAATGGAAATACCTTTTTATTCTCATTACACAACTGGTGTTCCAGTGTGTGCAAATAAAACAAAATTGCGAATAAATGTGATGCCTTTGACTATACGACATTTTATTTGTTATTTGAAGCTAACTATTTGTATTCGTATTCGAAAATTTAAATAATCGCTCACCCCTAGAACTTTTGGTAAAACAAGAAATTGTATGCGCCACGTAACAAACTGACGTTTACATTTTGTTCTTGTTTCTAATTAAAATTGATCATAAGACATCTGGCAGATGAACACCGGTATGATGCAGTGCCTGATTATAAGTTTGCAATGAAATTAAGAACAAGAATTATACGCAATCAGTAACTAAATTATCCCATAATAACGATCAAAGTTTTAATATAAAATTATAAAATGTTGAAGTTGTGGAACGTGATAAAAGCTCGTGTAGGGTTTCTTTTCATTAAGAGAAATCAAAATGCATAAAATTATTTTTAATAATAGCATGGCGGAGTTGCGCAGTATCGACTCACAAGAACTATATGCAGTAGCAGAGTGTAGGCCGCTTCTTTTTTTTTTTTTTAATGTCCAACTTTCAGTATGTTTTCGTCACCTTCCTTGGTGCTTTGAGTAAGCACACACGATCGAAGCTCACAGAACGCAGGAATCTCGAGCCGGAGGTTGGAGTCAGAGGCTACTGAGCGCGAGCTGGCGGCGAGCTACCACCGTTCCTTTGCAACCTGCATTTCGGGTCATGAAGATTGCCGGTCTGAACAGGTCACAAGTGTGAGGTCGTTCTGAGCATCCGCCGTGAAGAGGGCTGACGCAAATATGGCTTCCAATTAATTTACTGTCAGCTATTGCATAGTAAAACTTTGGGCGATATTTCATTCATCTTGTTTCGGCATGCTGGAAGGCGAATGCATCTTGCGCTGGGAATTCAAGCCAGGTCATCAAATACACTGACACTCGGTCCTAACGCCACGCGGCTGCGGTGGCGCTGTTGTCGGCACGGCCAATGCGCAAGCGCTTCACTTCACACGAATCTGGCTCTGCACACACGGGGTGTCCACATCCTGTATGGGCAAATGCTGCCTCGTTTGCAAGCAGCGTGTCGGTCTGTAGAAAGCAGCTCACGGTACAAGCCCGTTCCGCGCGCAGTCTCATCGGTTGTCCGTCGCCTGCTTGCAGGCGGTCCTGGCGGGCGTGTGGCTGCTCCTAGAGCCTCCTGCCGTGGCACACGTCTACCCCAGCCGCACGCGCAACGTGCTCGTCTGCCAGGGCTCCGACGGCGCCTCGTACCTGGTCGGCCTGCTGTACCCGTCGCTCCTCATCGGCGTGTGCACCGTGTACGCCTTCAAGACGCGCAAGTGTCCGGAGGGCTTCAACGAGGCCCGCCACCTGGCCTTCGCCAACTACACGACCTGCGTCATCTGGCTCGCTTTCTTGCCGCTCTTCCTTCTCAGCGGCTCGCCGACCATCCGCACGCTGGCGCTGAGCTTCTTGCTGAGCCTGTCCGGCGCGGTCCAGACGGGCTGCCTGTTCGTGCCCAAGGTGTACGTGGCCCTCTGCAAGCCAGCCAAGAACACGCGCGAGGGCGTCATGGGCCACCACCACGGCCGGTGCCTCAGCAGCCGGACCCCGCTCGCTCTCAACAACCTGACCAAGACGGACAACTTGAACGTGGTTCCGGAACCGCCCAGACTCGAGCCCCACCGGGGACAGAGCAAGACTCTCTGATGACGTTCTCTCACCCGGTTCGCCTTCGCCTCGCTGCTGCTTGCATGCTGTTAATAAACGAGATGCTGCAATCAGGCTACGGCTCCAAGAGTTAGGTGGCCCTCGCAGCTTTGCTTCGGGCGCAAAACACCAGGTCAAAAGGTTTTCTTTTTTTTTTTTTTTTTTTTTACACAAATTAGTGAAAGTATTTTTGAAACAGTCAAAAATAGGACTTTAAATTTTCTATTTCTTTTTGTTAGATTACATCGGCCCAGGAGGTACTTTAGCCTACTAATATCACTACCACAAAATAGTTTCGCGAAATAGACGTAAACTTGCAATATTGAAATTAAAAACAAAAATTAAAGATGCAGAAAAGAGACCAACGCACACAAAGATCTTCAGACCCTTGGGCGTATATTGCATCCCTTTTGTAGTGATGGACCGAATCTGCCGAACGAAAGAACCGGCAAAAATTCGGCAAACGTCTGTGCACGCACGAGGAAGCGATGCTGCCATGATTGCAATGGACGCCGTGCGGTAGTGAGGTTATTATCCTACAGTTACAGTACGGTGTAGTACTACCAGCGGTTACGGCGAGGTGCGTAGTAGGCGACAGGATAACTGTGCTTTGTAAGCCTTTGTGAGTGTGGTTTTCTTCAATATTTTTGGCTTCAAGAACAGAAGATCGACTAGGAATTGACGCGGTCCACTGAGCAAGTGAAAAATAATGCGGCACATTCTGGATAACGTGATTTTTATTTATTTTCTGCGATGCAACGAGGCAGTTGCAACATTGACTGACAAGCAAATTAAATCGCTCCTCGCAATTATAGCAATTCTGTTTTCGACTCACAAGTAGTTTGTGCCAAAACAAAATAATATAGCTTTTTAATTAGCGTTATTGTTATTTTGCGGTTTTCCATCTATCTCCATAAAACTAAACACAAAACTATCGTGCTCGACGTTGCATATCCGACATACCTACCTCTCCCCATCTTTCTAAACGTCCGCGTGTGTCCTAATACCAGAAACCTGCATTGTAAAAGTTAAAAACGGGACGTTTCGAATATTGAACGCACGCTTTTGCAAAACTGTCGTATTATCCCTTCTGGTGAAGGCTCAGCAGCCGTTGCATTCATGTTCGTGCACGAAACGGTGACTCCCAGAGAAAGTAAGAACACAGTGTTACTACCTTTAATTTAACAATGTACACACTTGCAGGCTTGCGCTGATGAGGCCTCAGATCCGAAACTGACGTATCGACTGCGTCCGCTACTACCCAACTCGTTGTCACACCACTTCTGCAATAAAGTCACTGTAAAATTTCCAGTAAAAACACAAACATTACACCGATACAATTATCTTGGGTGGCACTCAGTTGATCAAACGACGGTTTTGCGAACGCCGAATCTTCATCGAAAGACGCTTTAGCGGGAGGTCGGCCGCCGCGAAGCGGCGTTGTATTCGAGTGGGCCAGGTGAATTAACATTTTTGTAGTAGGCCGTCGAAGACTGTCGCCGCGAAGCGCCGGAAACACAGGGGGCGGGTGTGGGTGGTTAACACGCGTGCAAGTCATTCGCTACCTAAGACGTCGATTCGCTCAAATGACCGCTGTTCGCTAAAACGTCCTTCGCTCATGTGATATGAACCTTTCTCGCCCGAAAAAAACAAAATATCAACTTTTAAGTCAGGCAACACTGTATCTCTGCCGAATCTTTTCCGAACCTTTAAAAAAGTTCGGCAAAACTTCGGCTTTGCCGAATCCCGAGATTAGGTGCCGAATTGTCGATTCTGCAAAAGTTCGGCCCGTCACTACCCTTTTCTGCGTTTTCTTGTTCTTGAATTTTCCGCATTGTGCTAGATTCATCGAGAGACGGATAAAGGAGACGAAGTTTAGCTATTAGGTTTTCGCACATCAGCAACTTCAGCCGCCATTGCTGGCCCCCATATTTAATCTCGCCTGTTATTCCAGCCTAAACGAGACATCGTTCGCGGCCGCCAGTATCTGATGGACCACCACAGTGAGACGCAAACCTCATTCAGCGGGCAAAACAGACGTGCAGAAACCGCAATGCCGACATAAAGTCTGGATCCATGCTGCGCACACTAAACATGCCCCATTAGAGAATATCAACTAACTGTCCATGTTAATTGCCATTTTCAGTGCGCCGATTTCCAAATGAAAAGAAGGACGGAACGGCGATGACAACGCGGTTGCTTTGACTCACGATGGCTACACCAGAAAAGTACCACTACTTCAATGGCACACTGGCGTTGGTTTACTGCAAACAGGATGCCTAATGTACGGAATTCGCGCTCGACGTCGTCGGTTCGCATGATTTTTACGAGCGCACAGGTCGCTTGCAGAACACACCATGCAGGTTTTGAAGATACATGCATTCATTTTTTCGCACTAATAGTCTTCACGTGTGGGTAAGCACTGTCAACAAATCCGAATCGAAGATTGCAGACTTGTAAATATTGTCGCAGAGCGTAACCCACGGTTGTATGCCTTAGCACTTACAATAAATGACCGTTCACTCACATAGGATTCGCATAGATAACACTGATGTGATTTTTGCGTGATTGGCGCCTACGTGCTTACCCAGCTACATTTTATTAAAGTATGGGGAATTCGCGCCAACATGGTGCCTATAGTTAATCATACTTTATCAACACAGAAAGTTATTGCTTTGAGCCTTAGATGTCACTGCCGACCGGATCTTTACTGTAAGCCGATCAGAACTTTCGAGCGTCGCTTAGAATATCGTACTTTTTAGACCATATTCTCGTCAACCCACTCGGGATTTTATTCGGTTAGATAAATGAAAATAAAAATTGACTGATTCAAAGGCGAACTAGAATGATTAAGCGGAGGCACAAGATATGTACAAACAACGTATAAAAACCACGCAATTTAAATGCTGATAAAAAGAAATCTGCATCTTTTCGCCGCAGAGAGAAGGGAAATCCGATTCGGCGACTTTAGTTTGGCCAAGTTTTACAGAGCGCGCGCGCACGCAGCTCGCCGTCGTACTTCCGCGGAGCGGCGCTGCTTTTAGGGGTAGATAAAAGTCCGGGTAGATGACGTAGTGGCATTCGATTTTTTTTTTTTGTGTTTGTTTTAAATAAGGTTTTGGTGTTTTTTCGAGCAAAAATAGCCGCCTGGCGTGGTGTGGCCACAGAACGTGGCTGACATTTAGACGATAAAAGAGGTGCTTGAATTTCGTTGCAGTATCCAAGGTTCCAAGCATTTTTAAGAAGTGGGTGGGTGCTAATTGTGACATGGGAGCATGCTCGTTATTTTACTTTTATAGATATGTATACACAAGTTGGAGCTGGCCTATTTCCGTTTGAGTAACAGATGACAAAGTAAGTGCTGTGCAAACAACAACCGGTTTAGATCAAGGCTCGGCAAACTCGTGGTTGTGCACTCCATGCAAGCATTCTACCGAGGAGTTCCAACTGCTGCCACTACTGTTGTACCTGACACGGGCGCTGCTAAGACCAGTTCAAAATAAAAAAAAATAAAAAAAAACCTTTTCCGATGTTTTTTGCCCTAGCTCCATGTAGATAAGCGAGACTATGACTAAACTCTTGATATCAAAAATGGATGCTTCCTTATGCTGCACTTTGAAACAAGTAATTAGAACAAATATGATGTCACCGAACAGTGTTTTAAATAGCGAAGGTGAGTAAGAATGGCGCCTGGAGCTCTCTAGAACAAGGCCGAAGTTACTGTGTCAGACACTTTCGAAGCAGACTCCCGCTGGCATTCTTCAACTGGCCGACTCTCACCTCGTGGATGGCGCCACTCTCTACATTCGTGATCTGGAAATCCTCACCTGGAAACAAGGAATTTTCCACCCATAAGCAAGGAAAAAAGAGGACGGTGGGAATTTCACAAACTCTTTCACCGAAACATTACACGTTCCGAGAATTTCGGCGGTAGTCGTTTAACTTCAATCGTCCGATCGATCAGGTATGCGGAGTTCTGAGCGATTTGTTAGATTCGTTAGAAACGTTTGAAGAAAAGAATCTACCTAATGTGTTTTTTGTTTTTGTTTTTTTCACACTGGGGCGGCTCGATTATTTCAGGCATATTGCGAAACGGCAATTGAAAATAGCAAACACTAAGTTACAATATCTCTTTGAAATTTCTACTTGCCACCTTTTGAATAATTATTGGGGTAGTAAAAACAATCATTTTCCGAGTCAGGTTTTTTGGGTTTTTTTTCAATTCAGATCAATGAATAGTTTGCAGGTTATAATTGACAAGAGGCTCTTGCCAGTAACCCTTTTAAACCACAGTTTTATTTTTATGTCTGTACCTGGAGATGGAAGATGTTATAGGGTGGGTTCATATTATAAATTCCGAAGCAACTTGCACCACACAGATGTTTTTATCCTTCAAATGTATCTTAAAAAAGGAAAGAAATGTAACAAGAGACCTAAGTCTGGTGAAGTATCGCGATACAAGCGATAAATTATAAATGTATTCTACTACTGTGATGCAAACACACTTTTCTAATGTATCTCGATACAGAGATACAGATACTCGAATGTATCTCTAAGATACTATCCCGATACGTTTGTATCGCGATACAGCCCAGCCCTGGAAAGTGGTCACTTTTAAAAGGATTATCCAAGACTTTTCATCTAAATAAAAAAAACAATGAAGGGGATGGGATGGTAAGATCGATAGATGTAAATGAATCGTGAGCTGCACTCAAAAACATTCATAAGTCTCTTATTCATAAGGCACAGCTCAGGTGATAATAAACACCGTTCAGGGACCCCACCACGTGAGTCGTGACGAGAGCTACCCCACAAGGGGTGATGCGCATTCAAATATCTTAATTGTTAAAAAGGGCGAGGAAGCTATGCAACAAGTCTTTGGAGATCATGAAGATGCAATGGAATGCTTGTGTGGAATATAAATGGAGACAACAGCGGTGAGGTGGTCCAAAAGGAGGCGTACGGCCATCGGCCACAGCCTCAAGAGGTGTGCAGAGAGGGACCCGGGAGCACGCGACTCCACTCTGAACAACCACTGCTGCTCCACCTGATGCATTTGACGCAGGGCGACCTTT